TCTGTTCTGCCTTCCTCAACATAATCACTTCCAGGTGAACCACCAATCCCTCAATCTCAGCATCTTTGTAAGGATGAAGAAAACTGTTTATGGAAGCAGAAGAGACAGAGTCTAGTGGGATAAGTAAATGATATTTTAAATAAGAATATGACAAACAAACATGAACAAATATAAGCATTGTGTTGTAATCAAGAGAAAAGAGGCATTGCGACAGTGGAGTAGATTAGAAGAAGGTTTTAGTAGAACCTGTCATTTGTCTAAGACATGTACTGTTATCATGTACTGTATCGCCAACACAAGAAGTTTGCTTTTCTCTAGATCTTTATCATTTATTATTTTTTCTTTATTTATATTTGAGCCAATGTCTCAGTATGTGGACCATGCTGACCTCAAACACACACTGAGATTAAGGTGCTGGGATTAGAGGAATGAGTCATCCTATATTGTACTTCTATTTTAGATGTATGTTTTTAAATTTTCCTTTTTTTGATGAAATTATAGTTTCAACTTATCTCCCTTCCCTTTCTTCTCTCACAGCCATTCCAGATACCCTTCCTTGTTCTCTTCCTAATTCGTCGACTCTTTTAGTACTAAAGGTTATTATATTCATATGCATATGTGTGCAAATATTATAAGTCAATTTATGTGTATATGGATGTACCTAAGTGTGTGTATGTGAATATATATGTATGCATTAATGTATATGTATTTCTAAATATAGGATTCTCATTTTTAAGGAAGATATTTGTATGACTGTTTTCACGGCTGAGCATTTGTTATCAAATACCTGATTGGTTTGCTCTTCCCTGGAGCACACTGTTTCTTTTTCTCTCATCATTGTGTAGATGTCTGCAGTTTTTGTGTAGGGTTGATATTTCCTGGGCTCTCCCCATTTTCTGTGTGTAGACATTTGCCTGTGAGTGCCAGAGCTCTGGAGCTGGAATTCCAGGAGATTCCTGGCTGACATGGGAGCTGACCTGGGAACTTTTTCAAGAACAGTGAGTGTTCTTAAGCACTGAGTCATCTCTTCTGCCCTAGGTGCTGTATTTTCAGGTGCACTAACCCCAGCTTTAGCATCATACAGAAATCCGTATTAACATACCAACTGTTTCATTAATTGATATTTATTCTTTTTTTTATTGCGAAAAGAAGAAAAAAAAACATAAACAAAAAACAAGTTTCCACCTCCTCCCAGCCTCCCATTTCCCTTCCCCTCCTCCCACCCTTCTAGCCCTCCTCCCACCCTTCTCCCCCTCCTCCCACCCTTCTCCCCCTCCCCCAACTCCTCTTCCCCTCCCTCTCCAGTCCATAGAGCAGTCCGGGTTCCCTGCCCTGTGTTAAGTCCTAGGTCCTACCCCCTCCGTCCATATCTAGGAAGGTGAACATCAAAACTGGATAGGCTCCCACAAAGCCAGCACATTAAGTAGAATCAAAACCCCCTGCCATTGTCCTTGGTGTCTCATCAGCCCTTATTGTTCGCCATGTTCAGAGAGTCCGGTTTTATCCCATGCTTTTTCGGTCACAGTCCAGCTGGCCTTGGTGAGCTCCCCGTAGATCAGCTCCACTGTCTCAGTGGGTGGATGCACGCCTCGTGGTCCCGAATTCTTTGCTCATGTTCTCCCTCCTTCTGCTCCTCCTTGGGACCTTGGAAGCTCAGTCCAGTGCTCCTGTGTGGGTCTCTGTCTCTATCTCTATCCATCACCAGATGAAGATTCTATGATGATATGCCAAATATTCGTCAGTATTGCTCTAGGATAGGGTCATTTCAGGTTCCCAATCCTCAGCTGCCCAAGGAACTAACTGGGAACCTCATCTTGGGCACTTGGGAGCCCCTCTAGGGTCAAGTCTCTTGCCCACCCTAAAGTGGCTCCCTTAACTAAGAATTGTGGTTCCGTGCTCCCCTATCCACCTTTCCTTTATCCCAATTCTCCTGTTTCCCCAGGTCCCCCCTCCTTCCCTTCTACCTTTTCTCTCCCCATCTCCCCTTACCCCCATCCCACCCCACCCACAAGATCCCATTTTCTCCCCGGAAATTTGGTCTACTTCCCTTAGCCAAGAGGACAACTATATGTTTTTCCTTGGGTTCACCTTCTTACTTAGCTTCTTTAGGTTCACCTATTGTAGACTCCGTGGTCCTTATTTATGGCTAGAAACCAATTATGAGTGAGTACATCCCATATTCATCTTTTTGGGTCTGGGACACCTCACTCAGGATAGTGTTTTCTATTTCCATCCATTTGCATGCAAAATTCGAGAAGTCATTGTTTTTTACCGCAGCATAGGTCTCTAGCGTGTATATATTCCATACTTTCTTCATCCATTCTTCCATTGAAGGGCATCTAGGTTGTTTCCAGGTTCTGGCTATTACAAATAATACTGCTATGAACATAGTCGAACAAATGCTTTTGTCATTTGATAGAGCATCTCTTGGGTATATTCCCAAGAGTGGTATTGCTGGGTCCAGGGGTAAGTTGATCCCGAATTTCCTGAGAAACCGAAACACTGACTTCCACAGTGGTTGCACAAGATTGCATTCCCACCAGCAATGGACGAGGGTACCCGTTCCTCCACAGCCTCTCCAGCAAAGGTTATCCTTGGTGTTTTTGACTTTAGCCATTCTGACAGGTGTAAGATGATATCTCAAAGTTGTTTTGATTTGCATTTCCCTGATTGCTAAGGAAGTTGAGCACGACCTTAAGTGTCTTTTAGCCATTTGAACATCTTCTGTTGAGAATTCTCTGTTCAGTTCAGTGCCACATTTTTTAATTGGGTTAATTAGCATTTTAAAGTCTAGTTTCTTGAGTTCTCTATATATTTTGGAGATCAGACATTTGTCTGTTGTGGGGTTGGTGAAAATCTTCTCCCAGTCAGTAGGTTGCCTTTGTGTCTTAGTGACCATGTCCTTTGCTTTACAGAAGCTTCTCAGTTTAAGTAGGTCCCATTTATTCAATGTTGCCCTTAATGTCTGTGCTGCTGGGTTTATACATAGGAAACGATCTCCTGTGCCCATCTGTTGTAGGGTATTTCCCACATTCTCTTCTATCAGGTTCAGTGTGTTCGGGCTGATATTGAGGTCTTTAATCCATTTGGACTTGAGTTTTGTGCACGGTGAGAGATATGGGTCTATTTTCATTCTTCTACAGGTTGACATCCAGTTGTGCCAGCACCATTTGTTGAAGATGCTTTCTTTCTTCCATTGTATACTTTTAGCTCCTTTATCGAAAATGAGGTGTTCATAGGTTTGTGGGATAAAATCCGGGTCTTCTATACGATTCCATTGGTCGACTTCTCTGTTTTTATGCCAGTACCACACTGTTTTCATTACTGTAGCTCTGTAATAGAGTTTGAAGTCAGGGATGGTCATGCCTCCAGAAGATCCTTTATTGTATAGGATTATTTGGCTATCCTGGGTTTTTTGTTTTTCCATATAAAGTTGATTATTGCCTTCTCCAGATCTGTGAAGAATTTTGATGGGATCTTGATGGGGATTGCATTGAATCTTTAAATTGCCTTTGGTAGAATTGCCATTTTTACTATGTTGATCCTCCCAATCCAAGAACAAGGCAGGTCCATCCATTTTTTGGTATCCTCTTCAATTTCTTTCTTCAATGCCTTAAAGTTCTTGTCAAATAGATCTTTCACTTCCTTGGTTAGATTTACCCCAAGATATTTTATTCTGTTTGTGGCTATCGTGAATGGTGAAGCTTCTCTGATTTCCCTCTCTGCTTCCATATCCTTTGTGTATAAGAGGGCGACTGATTTTTTGGAGTTGATCTTGTATCCTTCCACATTACTAAAGCTGTTTATCAGCTGTATAAGTTCTTTGGTGGAGTTTTGGGGGTCGCTTATGTACACTATCATATCATATGCAAATAACGAAAGTTTAACTTATTCCTTTCCAATTCGAATCCCCTTGATCCCATTATGTTGTCTTATTGCTATTGCTAGAACTTCAAGCACTATATTGAAGAGGTATGGCGAGAGTGGACAGCCTTTTCCCGTTCTTGAGTTAAGAGGGATGGCTTTGCGTTTCTCTCCATTTAATTTGATGTTAGCTGTCGGCTTGCTGTATATAGCTTTTATTATATTTAGGTATGACCCTTGCATCCCTAATCTCTCCATGACTTTTAACATAAATGAATGTTGAATTTTGTCAAATGCTTTTTCAGCATCTAATGAAATGATCATATGGTTTTTTCTTTCAGTTTATTTATATGCTGGATTACATTGATAGATTTTCGTATGTTGAACCAGCCCTGCATCTCAGGAATGAAGCCTACTTGATCATAATGGATAATTTTTCGGATGTGTTCTTGGTTTCGATTTGACAGTATTTTGTTGAGGATTTTTGCGTCGATATTCATGAGTGAGATTGGCCTGTAGTTCTCTTTCCTGGTTGAGTCTTTGAGTGGTTTTGGTATCAGAGTAATTGTGGCTCCATAAAAGGAATTTGGTAATGACCCTTCTGTTTCTATATTGTGGAATACATTAAGGAGTATAGGTATTAGGTCTTCTTGGAAGTTCTGGTAGAATTCTGCATTGAAACCATCTGGTCCTGGGCTTTTTTTGGTAGGGAGGTTTTTGATAACAGCTTCTAATTCTTCGCGACTTACAGGCCTGTTTAGATTGTTCACCTGGTCCTGGTTTAGTTTTGGTAAATGGTATTTATCTAAAAAAGCGTCCATTTCTTTTACATTTTCCAGTTTTTTGGCATATAGGCTTTTGTAGTAAGATCTAATGACTCTCTGAATTTCCTCTGTGTCTGTGGTTATGTCCCCCTTTTCACTTCTGATCTTATTAATTTGCGTGTTCTCTCTCTGTCGTTTGATTAGTTTGGATAGGGGTTTATCAATCTTGTTGATTTTCTCCAGGAACCAGCTTTTTGTTTCATTGATTCTTTGGACTGTTTTCTGTGTTTCTATTTTGTTGATTTCAGCCCTCAGTTTGATTATTTCCAGTCTTCTACTCCTCCTAGGTGAGTCTGCTTCTTTTTTTTCTAGAGCTTTCAAGTGGGCTGTTAAGAATCCAATGTGAGCTTTCTCTGTTTTCTTTAAGTGGGCACTTAGTGCTATGAACTTTCCTCTTTGCACTGCTTTCATCGTGTCCCATAGGTTTGAGTATGTTGTTTCTTTATTTTCATTGAATTCAAGGAAGACTTTAATTTCTTTCTTTATTTCTTCCTTAATCCAGGTATGGTTCAGTAGTTGACTGTTCAGTTTCCATGAGTTTGTAGGCTTTCTGGGGGTAGCATTGTTGTTGAATTCTAACTTTAATCCATGGTGATCTGATAAGACACAGGTGGTTACTAATATTTTTTTGTAACTGTGTAAGTTAGCTTTGTTACCAAGTATGTGGTCAATTTTCGAGAAGGTTCCATGAGCTGCAGAGAAGAAGGTATATTCTTTCCTCTTCGGGTGGAATAATCTATAGATGTCTGTTAAGTCCATTTGCTTCATTACCTCCATTAATTCTCTAATTTCTCTGTTAGGTTTCTGTCTGATTGACCTGTCCAATGGTGAGAGAGGAGTTTTTAAGTCTCCTACTATTAGTGTGTGCGTTTTGATGGCTGCCTTGAGTTTTAGTAATGTTTCTTTTACGTACGTGGGTGCTTTTATATTAGGGGCATAGATATTCAGGATTGAGACTTCTTCCTGATGAATTGTTCCTGTTATGAGTATAAAATGTCCCTCTCCATCTCTTCTGATTGATTTAAGTTTGAAGTCAACTTTGTTAGAAATTAGTATGGCCACACCTGCATGTTTCTTAGGTCCATTTGCTTGATAAGCCTTTTCCCAGCCCTTTACTCTGAGTAGGTGCCTGTCTTTGTGGTTGAGGTGTGTTTCTTGTAGACAGCAGAATGTTGGATCCTGTTTTCTTATCCAATCTCTTAGCCTGTGCCTTTTTATGGGTGAGTTGAGCCCATTGATATTAAGTGATATTAATGACCAGTGGTTGTTAACTCCGGTCACTTTTTTAGTAGTAGGGTTTGTGTGTTTTCCTTCTTTGATTTGCGTTGGTGAAGAGTCTCTAGATGTCTGAGTTATTGTGGTCATTGTTGGACTCCTTGGTTAGTGATTTTACTTCTATTATTTTCTGTAAGGCTGGATTTGTGGCTACGTATTGTTTAAATTTGTTTTTATCCTGGAAAATTTTGTTTTCTCCATTTATAGTGAATGAAAGTTTGGCTGGATATAGTAGTCTGGGCTTGCATCCGTGGTCTCTTAGTTTTTGGAGAACATCTAACCAGGACCTTCTGGCTTTCATGGTTTCCATAGAGAAGCCAGGTGTAAGTCTGATAGGTTTACCTTTATATGTAACTTGGCCTTTTTCCTTTGCGGCTCTTAATATTCTTTCTTTATTCTGTATATTTTGTGTTTTGATTATTATATGGCGAGGGGTTGTTTTCTTTTGATCCAGCCTATTTGGTGTTCTGTATGCTTCTTGAACCTTCATAGGTACATCTGTCTTCAGGTTGGGAAAGTTTTCTTCTATAATTTTATTAAGTATATTTTCTGTACCGTTGAGCTGCACTTCTTCTCCTTCTTCTACTCCAATTATTCTTAGGTTTGGTCTTTTTATTGTGTCCCATATTTCCTGAATGTTTTGTGATGAGAGTTTGTTGGACTTGCTGTTTTCTTTGATCAGAGTGTTTATTTTCTCTATGTTATCCTCAGAATCTGAGATTCTTTCTTCTATCTCTTGTATTCTGCTGGTTATACTTGATTCTGTAGTCTCTATTCGTTTACCTAGATTTTCCATGTCCAGCTGGCCCTCTGTTTGTGTTTTCTTATTTGCCTCCATTTCAGTTTTCAAGTCATGAACTGTTTCCTTTATCTGCTTGATTGTTTTTCCTTGGTTTCCTAGGGTATCATTCACTGATTTACTCAATTCCTCGAACTTTCTATTATACTTCTCATCCATTTCTATAAGGGTGTTTTTTATATGTTGTTTAAGGGTGTCAATCACTTTCATGAAGTCAGTTTTTTCTGCTTCTTCTTGATTAAGGTGTTTATGTCCTCCTGTTGTGGGGTCACTGGCTTCTGGTGGTTTCGTGTTGTTTTTCAGATTGTTGGGAGAATTCCTGCATTGGTGTCTGCCCTTCTCTTCCTCCCAATACTCCCCTTTGGATCTTCTTTTACAGGATCAGGTCTTCTTGCCCACTGATGTACCTTCCCAGTGATGTCACTCCCCAGAGATGTTTCTCCACAATGATGTTTCACTCGGTGCCCAGATCGAAACTCCGCGCTGCTTGGTTAGCTCGTGAACAAAGGGCCCACCCTGCTTGCTGCGGGCAGGCTATGGGAACAAAGGAGCTACGGGCCACCCCTTTGTCCTCCAGGTTCGGATTCGGTCCCAGCATCCTAGCAGGCTGGGCAGGGAGGCGCTATGCCCCAAAGGAGGGAGGGAGGGAGGGAGACAGGGGGTGTGGGGATCTGGATGTAAGCTGAATGGGATAGGAAGAGAGAGGCGGTTTGGGCAGTATAGCCCCTGTAGGATGGCCAGGAATTGTGGGCGGGCTGAGGTATGTTCCCAGCTGCCGCAGCACTCACTCACCACAATGATGTTTCACTCGGTGCCCAGATCGAAACTCCGTGCTGCTTGGTTAGCTCGCGAACAAAGGGCCCCTATTTATTCTTTTTTACATGTTGATCAGACTCAGGTATTTTTTAATATTATGCCCACCAATTATATCTCAAGCACTGAGTTACAAAAGTACATTTAACTTCCATATGATTTTAAGCAGTCCTTTCTGAAGACTGAAACTGCCTCCATCACAGGGGTTTCTTTTCTTGAATCCTATGGGCATTTCTTTTTTTTTTTACATTTTCCTTTTATTATGATTATTATTATTACAAATTTTGACCTCCTCTCCTCCTGCCATTTCCCTCCGCCTACCCACATTACCCCTACCCCTCCTTCTCCAGTCCAAAGATTAGTAAGGGTTCACTGCCTGTGGGAAGTCCAAGGTCCTCCCCCCTCCATCCAGGTCTAGGAAGGTGAGCATCCAAACAGCTAGGCTCCCACAAAGCTAGTACATGCAGTAGGATCAAACCCAGTGCCATTGTCCTTGGCTTCTCAGTCAGCCTTCATTGTTCAGTACGTTCAGAGAGTGGTTTGATCACATGCTCCATCAGTCCCAGTGTAGCTGCCCTTGGTGAGCTCCCGTTAGATCACCCCTACCATATCAGTGGGTGGGTCCAACCCTCGTAGTCCTTTCTTCCTTGCTCATGTTCTCCCTACTTCTGCTTCTCATTTGGACCTTGGGACCTCAGTCCAGTGCTCCAATGTGGGTTTCTGTCTCTATCTCCATCCATCTCCAGATGAAGGTTCTATGATGATATGCAAGATATTCATTAGTATGGCTATAGGACAGGGCCATTTCAGGCTCCCTCTCCTCAGCTGCCCAAGGAACTAAATGGAGACATCTCCCTGGACACCTGGGAGCCCCTTGAAAGTCAAGTATCTTGACAACCCTAAAATGGCTCACTTAATTAAGATATATACATCCCTGCTCCCATATCCATCCTTAATCCATGCCAACCATCCCATGCCCCTAAGCTCTCCCCATCCTCCCATTCTCATTTTCTCTCGCCATCTTTCTTTACTCCTACCCCATTCCCACCCCCAAGTTTCCAAGTGCACAAAGGAGCTGAAAGTATACAGTGGAAGAAAGAAAGCATCTTCAACAAATGGTGCTGGCATAACTGGATGTCAACCTGTAGAAGAATGAAAATAGATCCATATCTATCACCACGCACAAAACTCAAGTCCAAATGGATTAAAGACCACAATGTCAATCTAAACACACTGAATCTGATAGAAGAGAAAGTGGGAAGTACTCTACAACACATGGGCACAGGAAATCACTTCCTAAATATAACCCCAGTAGCACAGACAATAAGGGCAACATTAAATAAATGGGACCTCCTAAAACAGAGAAGCTTTTGTAAAGCAAAGGACACTGTCATTAAGACTAAAAGGCAGCCTACTGACTGGGGAAAGATCTTCACCAACCCCACAACAGACAAAAGTCTGATTTCCAAAATATATAAAAAACTCAAGAAAATAGACTTTCAAATGCTAATAAACCCATTTAAAAATGGGGCATTGCTCTGAACAGAGAAATCTCAACAGAAGAAGTTCAAATGGCCAAAAGACACTTAAGGTCATGCTCAACCGCCTTAGTGATCAAGGAATGCAAATCAAAACAACTTTGAGATACCATCTTACACCTGTCAAAATGGCTAAAATCAAAAACATCAATGATAGCCTTTGCTGGAGAAGATGTGGAGTAAGAGGAACAATCACCCATCGCTGGTGGGAATGCAAACTTGTGCAACCACTTTGGAAATCGGTGTGGCAGTTTCCCAAGAAATTCGAGATCAACCTACCCCAGGATCCAGCAATACCACTCTTGGGAATATACCCAAGAGATGCTCTATCATACTACAAAAACATTTGTTCAACTATGTTCATAGCAACATTATTTTTAATAGCCAGAATCTGGAAACAACCTAGATGCCCCTCAACAAAAGAATGAATAAAGAAAGTGTGGAATATGTATGCATTAGAATACTACTCAGCGGTAAAAAACAATGACATCTTGAAGTTTGCATGCAAATGAATGGAAATAGAAAACACTATCGTTAGTGAGGTAACCCAGACCCAAAAAGATGAATATGTTATGTACTCACTCATAAGTGGATTCTAGACATAAATAAAGGACATTGAGCCTATAATATGAGATTCTAGAGAAGCTAAATAAGAAGGTGACCCCAAAGAAAAACATAAAGTTATTTTCCTGATGTTGGAAGGAGACAAGATTGCCAGGCAAAAATTGGACTTGGGGTTGGGGATGGAGTGGGGGAAAGGAAAAATGGGGAGAAAAAAGTGAGAAGGGGAGGATGTGGAGAGCTTGGGGGAATGGGATGGTTAGGATGGGGGCAGGGTGGATATGGGAGTAGAGAAGTATATATCTTAATTAAGGGAGCCATTTTAGGGTCGGCGAGAGGCTTGACTCTAAAGGTGT